AAATACTGGTTGAGTGATTCTTTTACAAATAAAGCCAGTATCCTTCAAATTACAGCCAGTGTTTAAAGATGCAGAAGGATAACATTGCGTTGCATTGCAACAAATTTTCAACATCTCACTAGTACCAACAAAAGGATAATTGAGCAAGTTATTATAGAAAGCCCCATTTTGTTCAATAAGGCAATTATTAAAAGCCTGCCCACTTCTGACTTGACTTATATTAGTTAAAATTAAAAAAAATTAACATTAAAAAAATATACATTTTCAATCAATTCAAATTGGTAAAAAGAAAGAAAGAATTTCATTCCGAAATAAATGGTATGCTTATTTTGTAGTTGAGTGACACCAAGAAGAAACATGTAAATGATATTCTTCGAATGCTTTATTTTTAATAAAAATATCTTAAAATCAGTAAATAAACACTTATAATTTTAATACCACTTGAATCGTCTTAATGAGACGATTTGACTAATGTTAAAATCTTAAGTGTTTAACTACTTGGTTTTTAAGATATTTTGATTAAAAGTAAATATTCAAACCCATTTTTTTCTTGGCATTCCCCATTTCGAATAAAGTCAAGTCGAACAAGTTACACAAAGTAATACTGATTTACTTTGGAACGGCTACATAGAATCGTTAAGACAATCTAAGGACCCCGAACAATACTAACAGAGGTCATATTTGAACAATAGCCAACAATAGACAAAAAAATTTACAAATTTAAGAACTTATGCTAATGTGCCAGATATAACCTTTATTAGGTATAATTTTGAAATTTGGTCTAAATTAAGCTTAATTCGGGCCATTATTCGAAATAACGCCCATGTGCGTTATTACGCGCAAATACAACTGTTACTAACCTAAAAAAAATTTCGCTAAAAAAATTTCGCTATTAGATTAGAGTTAGGTTTTGCTATTGAGGTTAGAAAGAACTTTAGGAATACAAAAATTTCGTAAGGAAAACTTTTAGTTAGCGCACAGAAGGTGGTTTCATATATAAAATGTTGATTTTTTGACTTCTTCTGCGTCACACCTGATCTTGAAATCTGATTGGCCAGCGAAATTTTTTAGGTTTGTAACGCTAAGACAGTTCGCAAATACGGTATCATCGAACAAGATATCCACGATATTTTATAAGTTTCTTAGTG